CTTTAGGCTGCTGGGAGATCGCAACTTCTTGCCCTTATTAATGACGATATAGGTTTATATATAAACATCCCAGGAAAGAGGGAAGCGTGTTCCTGGACGTTACCCGAAAAATGAGGCGATTAGACTGTACGTGGCACATGCTGACAGACTGCCTAGTCCTCCCGAGCTCTGCGTACAATTTATTAACCTGCTAGTTAACAGGACTGGACAGTCGATTCGTGTGAAAAAAGTACAGAAGTGCGCGGGGCCTACACAAGGGAATCCTTTATCATGGAAAATCAGTTCATTCCCCAGTGCGATAAATCTGACGCGCACTGTAATAAATACTATGCAATTAAACTCGTGTCATGAAAGACAGCCGGCCGATTTTCATCCCGTGTGCTATACTCTATATTAATCTATGGTAGCCGGCTGGCTAAATGGTATTCACACTCAGATGATCTTTCTGGCATTTGAATTTAAACCACTCTAACAAGAGCAAGATTCGAGTCACTTGTCCTCTGTAAACTTACTACATTTTGCTAGGACGAAGTTCTTCGTGGTACACACTAACGGGTTGTTTAGATCTGTCAGGCATTGCGTCCGAACTCACTCCGGTGTTCTTGACATTGCCTTGCCATAGCTTCCCCTACTTTTTACGACAAGGAAGAATCCGCATTATGTTAAAATAAAATAAAATAAAATAAATCTCTATACAATCAGTCTTGGACCATGCTTTTCACAGTTTCGGCATCTACGATTAGTCTTGAGCAAGTCAGCCCTAGCATTGGCTGCCTTTCGTCAGTTTGTCGTCAAGGTTTTCAAACCTATGGGCAATTTTCGTTTACTCTAGGACTAATGTCATATCATTTGTTTACTTTAGGCATGCCGTCTGCAATCGTCCGGAGGACGTATTGTCGGCGAAAATGGCTTCCACGGTCCGTAAATACGATAAAAAGTGATGATACAGAAACCTAAGTCACAAGAATTCGTCCCGACATAGTCGTTGTATCGAAAGGAACACCCACCTACTGAGCATTTAAAGAGATAGCGGAAGCTCAGTTTTAGAGACAGTCAGTCATAACAAGAAGACCGTCCAACATTTCCTCCCAAACCCTGTCGATTTCATATTCTTTGACGGCAGAGTTAACACGGGCGGGCTTTTGAATTTGAGCCGCCATTTTTGTAGCTCTCCATTCACGTGTGGATTTTTACTAATTGTACATTATTGTGCCTTTTCTCTTCGATATATTGAATTGTTTTGCATTCTTTGTTTGTCTGAGCTATGATTATGAGGTCGTCTCTACAGTACACTAGCACCCTTTTGAATGGAATTAAATTGTCAATTTCACTTACGAACGACCATGATGCAAACTGTTGTACTTTACGACCAGTATGTCGTATTTGTGATCGTTCTGTGTTGACTTTATCAAATATCCGTCAAAAACGGCCTATGCATCGGAGAAAACACCGTTGTGGCTGGCAATTCGCATTCAAACGTCAGCCGAATCACAAATTGTCAATCCCTGCCTTCTTGTCGACAAACTGTCGTTCTGTTTTCAACAAAACCCATGATTTGGAGCTACTTTTGTCGAAAAAAGAACACAGCAAAACTGAAGTTGTTTGCCTTCAAGAGACGTGGCTTAATAGTGACATTGATTCTCAGCTTATTACTCCCCCATCCTTCTACTGCTTTCGAACAGATAGAAAATCTTTGTCTTGTGGCAGAGGTGGAGGCGTTGCCATTTTCGTTAATCAAAATTGGTGCAGAGACTGTAAGTCCCTTTTTTCTTACTCTGATGATTTAATAGATGTAATCGCTGTTTTATGTAAGCCCCGTTTGTTAAGTAATTTTAAAG